ATTGCAGGAGGGCGTCCGGCACCCAGACACCCCCCCGGCCACCTCCTTGCAGTGTGGGGGAAGCAGACAGGCAGGAGACATGCTGGGAATTTGTACCCAGTAAAGCCACCCCAGCAGCAGGCTCTGGGGCCCTAGAAGCTCCCAGCTGCGTGGAGGTGAGCACCTGAAAGCCCGTCCCTCACCCCACAAGTCCCTGCTCTGTGACCTGCTCGTGTCACCGCGGAAGGAGCTGTGTCCCTCTCAGCAGAGACAGCTCGGGGCAGGGGTGCTGAGCCTGTTAGGGCAACCACCCGGCCCACGTCTGGGCCATGGTCTCTGCTCTATGGGCACGGAGGTGAGCACTGTCCCCCCGACCATAAATCCCAAATCCTGTCAGAAGACCCCCCTCTGTGTTTGGCAGGGACCCTGCTGCGGGAGCCGTGGTGCGGGCACGGCCTGCTCTGCCACTCGCGTCCCCACAACCATCTCTCCAGGCACGGGCTCGCAGAGCAGAGCGGGCTGGCAGCGCCTGGGCAAGAGGAGCGCCAGGCACGTGAGGCAGGTGTACGACCGCTGCATTTCAAGCACAAGTAAACGCGACCTTTCTTAAACACCCAAACTAGCAGCTAGGGATTATCAGGGGTGCAGGGTAGGATACAGTTCCCAGCATATGCCTGGCGCTGACGAGAGGGTGCGGACCAAGAGAAAGCAGCCAAACGTGCTGCCCCAATGTCTTCGTTCTACCGCAAACCACCCTGGGACCTTTTCCCCAGTACGGTGTCTGGCCTTCTTAGGTGATGCCTCTGGCCTGTGCACTCACTTCAGTTGTGACTTCAGGCACAGCTCTTCTTCCAGGACGGTAGAGAACGAGCAGGGCTTGCTGTCCCGAGCGCCTGCAAGCTGTGGCACACACACACGCTGCTGTGCAAGGCCACATCAGAGTCAGAGAGACGCCGGACCCACAGCATAGGTTTACTGTGAACACACATCATGACAACACAGTGTGGAGATCTTTGGGCACAGCTTCACAAAAACACCGATCCTAACTACAGACAAACACGCAGACTTGTCCATAAATACAGGAGGCGCAGGAGACGCGGTCCTGGCCGGCACTCAGGATGCGGCAGGGACACCCGTGTCAATCTTGCCCTCGGGTTTGTGCTCACAAGTCAGTTACATAAATATGTATTAAATACTTTTCATTTCATATATAATAAAGATTTTTCCTTACTGGTTTCTAATAATCCTGATTTGTTCAAATAGCAGTTTCTTTTAATTTCTGTCACCAAGACTTCAGAGCTGTACCCTGCCTGATGCTTGGGGACTAGAAAAAAAACACCCGTGTGTGTCCTCCCTGCCCACCTCTCTCAGGCTGGATCCCCAAGCTCCTGCCTGCCTGCCCCAGCCCAGCAGGAAAACATCCCAGTCCATGCCAAAGAGACGTTTTCTTGAAGGTGGCAGCCTTGACCATGATGCCCTCATCACTCTCCTTCCCACACTCATTCAGAATGCTTTCTCCTTCTCCCAGTCTTCCTGCCATGAACTCTCTGGACCTGTTTTTGGTGGTCAGTGGTGGGACTTGAGAGAGGAAGAAGGAAGGAACAGAGAGGAGGTTGGTGGTTGTCATGGATCTGATGACTTTGGGCCCAGAATGCCTTTGAAGGCTATGGGCCAAAAAAAAATCTCAAGGAAGCATCTGTCCCCTTTGGACTTACTACCCCAAAAGCCTTGGCTGTACCAGTCCTCTGACTCTGCTGTCCCAGCGAGCACACAGCCCTTGGGACAGCAATGCAGCCCCATGGCTCCATGGAGGTGCCACACCAGTACCAAGACCACATTTGTTCTTCATTTAACAAAGCAGATGGGGCCGAATGGCAAAGAGCTGGCTTGTGGAGAAGCAGAGCTGACTCTTCCACACCCCAGAGTCCTGTGGCCTTGGGACATGGCTTGTTCTGCACTGTGGACAGCCAGCTGCAGGAGGTGCTGTGCAGGAAGCTGGGCTGCTTCCAGGCTAGAAGCGTTTGCAGTGTGCTGCCCAGTGAGCCACTAATTCTGTTGACCCTCTGGACACAGTGGCTGCAGCTCCTCCACACTTTTCTCAGGAGGCAATGGCTGCACCCGGCACGGGCGACCCAACAGAAGCTGGCCTGGCAGAGCATTGTCCCCCAGCAGCTCTTTGCCCAGATGCTCTGGGTCCAACACCTCTCCCAGCAGCTCCTCTTTGCAGGACACCAAGATCTCCTTGGAGAGCCCTGACTGATCCAGGCCAGTCATTTCCCCCATATATCCGTCACCCGGCTTCTCTCTCTGCCCAGCCAGCCTTATATCAGACCCTGCACCACACCCTGGGTTCCCTGTGTTACTTGGTTCTAGCATTTCCCCAGATGATTCTTCTTCATCCAGCTCCACCATGCTCTTCTCCTCTGGGTTAGAGTCCTCCTCCACCAGCTGCTTCTTGCCGGGCTCCAGGCTGTTGTCTGGCTCCGGGCCCTTATTCCAGGTCAGGGCGTCCAGGGCCCTTGGCTCTGCCACCGACAACCCCGACGTCCCCACCTCCACATCGAGGCGTCTGTCTGGTGGCTCCCCCTCTTCTTGCTCAGGGGACTGGCTAGTCAGCTGCTCCTCGCTTTTGGGGGGACTGATGGACAGTTTCTCAGTGAAGCTGAAACGAGCACAGTTGTCCACAGAGGTTGGGGAGGATGGGCCTGCACTGGAGACAGTACTGGAAGGGCCACTGCTGTCTGCAAAGAGGAAGAAAAATCTTAAACATTTGGCTGATATTTCCCCACCCCAAAGTCTGGGCAGACTCAAGCTCTCACAGTCCCACAGTTGTGCAGCTAATTGGTGAGGGCTGTCTACGTGCCATGCAACCTGGCAGGGACTTGCAGCTGATCTTGAGTGTGCTTCTGGCAGCTCAGCTGGTGAAAACCCAAGCACAAGCACCACAGTTACATCTTGTCACACAGGGCTCTGCTGGCATACAGCCGAGAGTGGATTCTGCTGTCATTAGAGCTTCAACTTTGCTCTTCTTGGTTCCTGACTCACACAGTTCCTTAGTGTTGAGCTAGAGCCACCACTGGAAGAAGAAATATTGCTTCTCCACTAATGCTTGTTTTTTGCCTACACCGTACAATGAAGAAAACTAGAGAATAGATCTAGATTATATCTAATCCAATGAAGGGGGAGGATTAAACAACTGCTTTCAGTGAGATAGGTTCTCTGACCTTGCTGCCCAAAGAAAGACACACTGTTCCTGGCACAAGAAGCACACAGCCAGGAGAAGGGTAGGACTGCTCTTTCACAGGAAACCTTGACTTGTGTTATTAAGGCACTTGCTGTGCGACTGTTGACTAGCCCTTTCCCCATCAAATTCCAGTCCGATTTGTGAAGGGGACTAAGAACAGTCACCAGCTCTGCAGAGAGCGTGACAAGGGAAGGCCAGGGGCTGCAGAAAACCCCTAAATGAGGAAATAAATGATTGGCTGTCCTGTATAGAGCTCTGGACAAGGCATGTACATGGCTTATTAAAAAAAGAAAGTGTTTCCACGTGCCAGCACTGATTCGGCCACGTGTGACGAAAAATCACAAAACTTGAGATGAAGTACATTCATGCCCTCCTTGCCCTAGGGCAGAAAGCAGAGGATAACTGGAGAGAGAGCATCCATCCAATAGTGGATAGCCCCATGATAAATGATACTACGGAGAGTCCCTTTTTGCACTTTTCTGTGGAAACTTTTTCACATGGCACATGATTACTTTCCCTATTAGCTATTTCCCTTTTCTGTTTATGTTCAAGGGCAGCACATAGAAAACCTGGGCACAAATACTTGGCTTCCACTGTTTGGCATCCCCTTCCCCTTCCCCTTCCCTTCCCTTCCCCACCACGTTCACCCCTGATCAAGGAGGGAGCACACTCACACCAAGGGGGTTTATCCGAACGCTGGCGCAACGGCAAAGAGGATGATGACAGGATTCGCTGGGACATAAAAGGGTCTCCTGGTATCTGGCTGCCAATCATTGAATCAAACAAAGCTTCAAGACAAAAAGAAATACACAGATCAGTAATATTCAGACAGACATAAAGGACTGGCTTGCAGCCCAGCATCCATGAGCAGGCACTCCAGGAAGGGCTCAAGAACAGTGCAAATTCAGAGCCACGCCTGTCCATCGGCTCCTAGGAATCTGAGGCTAAAATTTCCCAAGCTGCAATTTGTATCCCTGACACCGGTTTTTATCAGCTACATACAGACCTGACCCATTACTTGTCTCTCAAGTAAGTGGCCTAGGATGGCTCTGAGCTGGATCCCACAGATCACTCCTGGTGCAGAACGCCCTGGAACAGGTTTCAGAGACTGTGCTCATTGCCAGTCCTGGCAGGCTGATCTGTCCCGATAATGTAAAAGACCAGAATTTCTCCTTGCCTCAACTCTGTTCTGGCTTACCCAGAGACAAGCCCACCTCTCCAGTACCTGCAGTAGACTGGACATGCGATTCGCTGCAACTCCTGCACACAGCTGTCAGGAACTCGTTGACCTGTCGCAAAGAGAGGGAGTTGTGCAGGGTCTCCAGGGGATAAATGGTGGGAACCATGGAACAGCCTTCAAAACCTGGAAAGAAACCGAATCAGAAAATGATTAGAGCAAACAGCAACCTAAATTCATGCAGGACTCGTAGCTGAAGGAGCTGGGCAGTCTGGGAATCAAACCACAGGCATACTCTGGCCTAAGGCCGCCTCTTCTAGGTCAAGAAAATCACCACTAGGCAGTCACATGCAATAACAGACCTGAAAGCAAGCATCCAGGCACACGCAGAAGGAGGGGAAGGGGGAGGAAACGTGTCCAGCAGCAGCCGTGTTTGCTGCAAAGCCCGTGACCCTTTTGCTAAAATCTATGGTTATGATGGAGAACTTGGCACAGTGCCCACACTTTACAGGAGCTAAACAGAATGAGTGAAGGCAACGGAAACAGTTTGAATTATTTGTCCCCTTCACAAGACTCCATTGCCAGCAAACCCAGAATTAGTAGAAATTGGTTTCTCGACATTTAACATACACTTGCTCAGAGCTAAGCAGCATCACAACCATTCAATATAAGTTCTTTGCTACGCAAGCCAGCAGAGTATTATGGCCAAGCATCTTCCTCCTTATCCTAACTTCTTGCAATGCTTTGGGGAGCGAAGCCAACCCAAAACTGTCAGAGAAGCAAGAAAGAAACAAGTGGGTTTCTGAGCATATGGGAATGAGGCCGCCTCCTGCTCTGCACGTCTTCAGTTCTTAAGCCTTAAAGCCTTGAACTTCTTAAGCTCAGGCTTCCCATTCTGTGACTCCCTACTTCCCTCTGAGGAGCTCAAAAAGACCATGGGAAGGAACTCGGTTTGGTCCGACAGGGAAGGAAAATTACTTTGAAATGTAAGAAGTACGGCAGCTCTTGATGCACTCCTGTGTCAGGATTGCTGCCCAGCACACTGGCAGGCGAAAATTGACTCCCGCAGCTTGACAGCACCTAAAGAGAAGACCTAGAGCCCCTGGATTATCTGCTAAGCGTGGCCATTGTTCCAGCCCCCTCCAGGACGGTCTCTGCTCCAATCTGCTTGCCTAATGCAGCTCTGGAAGAGGCAAGGAGCATGAGCCAGATGATGGTATTTAGAGTGATTCCACACACATTGTGAGGAGGCTGCAGATCAGACCATCCCCAGTTTGCGGTGCTGCAGGGCCGTTCACTGCCATAACAGCTACTGGAGATAAAGAACCTTTCAGTCAGTTCCGAGAGGTCACCTATGCCACAACGGGCCTACAAACGTTAGTTCAAGACATGAAGGGTAACAGATCCTTGGCTAGGATGAAGGAATGTAAGACACAGGAAAAATACCATAATCTTCTGTCCCTGAAGTCCTTAGAGGGGAAGAGTGAATAAGGAAGAGCCTTTGTTCATCATTTTCTCATAGGCATTCTGGGAGACAGAGCTAAAGGAAAAGGGTGAGGGCAAGACTTAACAAACAGCCACGTGCAGGTGGTCGTGGAGCAGCACAGCATGAGGCTAACAGCGTTTCACAACAGAACCTGGTGTAAGAGGGGCCACAGCTGGTTCAGCTATCAGGATCTCGAAAGAAAGAAGGAAGAAGTTTGAATATAGCACAGGGCAAGGCAGTGTAGTTACAAGATACACCAGAGGCACTGCTGGGGATCTCAGTGCGTGGGCACTGCTCTGATAAAAAGTGGAAATGAAAGGTCCAGGGCTGAAGGCAACGTGTGAGCCAGACAATGCTTCTGCCGTACACGATACACCTCACAGGCCTGCTCACGCTGCTCTGCTCAGCACTGGGCCACTTAACCGGTCTCAAGCAAGTAAAGAAAAAGGCAAAAGTTTCCCTTCTCGAGGTGAAGCACGACTATTTTCAAGGAATCCCCCTCACTTGTGTACGGCAGCCCACTCCTGTGCACTCCTCCCTCGACCTGCTGAGCTGCCGGGGAGAGGCCAACAATGGCAGTTTCACGCCACCACTGCAGAGCCAAAGCAGAAGTCACTCCTGCAGACTCTCACCACTGCTGCACCACGCATACTCAGCAAAGAACCAAAATCTTTGGGAAGAGACAACAAAAATAAAGCACGAGTGCAAACCACAGAACCTCTCCAGCCCAACAGTCCCCCCGTGCTGACAGCTCAGCTACTGCTGATGCTTCCCAAAACTCTTTTCCTGGGGTCTGCTGGGTGGGAGTCTGTGATGTGGACAACAGCACAAGAAATTGGATTGAATTCCATTCATTTTACAATAAAGTCAAACAGCAGCCCACAGAGAAACAAGTTTCACTTTTCATTTCACCCAGGTTTGACTACACGGGCTGCATTACGGATGCAGAGAGCAATCTGCTTTCTCCAGAGCTAGGCCTGCCCTGCAGGGAGAGGCACATGGCAGTGGTCTGCAGACAACAGTAGCTAAAAATGAAGCCTGAAGTCAACTGCAATCTTCTCCGGGCAAGGGGCACAGTGTGGGTACGTCTCCAAAATTTTTGTTCAGTAAAATGGGAAGAAACCATCTATTAAGACAAAGACAACAAGATTTAGTTATGGGAAAAACCTTAAGATATACAAGGGAGAGGAATCTGATGAGCATGTATTACTTTGGGTGTCCGAGTGTGACGTGGAGGATCAGCTACAGGCGAGTCTCCACTCTGACTCAATAATGCAGCAGCAACCCAACACAGCAGCAGAGAGTGGCACTGTCTGAAGAGCCATTCTGCAGCTGAGAGCACCACAGCTACAAGCCATGTAGAGGATTCTGAGTCCTGTTTTGACTCTCCCAGGCACGCTGATGCTAAAGCTGAGGGCACACCCCTGTTACAGCTGAGTTAACCATGTCCCATTTTGAGCTCTTCTTCCCAGAACTTCACATTCTTGGCACGTGCACACTGTCAGAGTCTACTCAGCATCTTCATGGTTTATGAAGAAGTCTTCCAAATATTCAAAGAGGGAGTGACTCTTCCCTTAGACTGTTTCATAGCTCATAGTACCAACACACAACACTTGACAATAACACCAAGAAGGTGATTTGGGTATAAGGACCCACTTGCAAGGACGACAGAGTCATAACGGTTGGAAGAGACGTTCATCACGTCCAACCATTCGATCATCTAGCACGTTACACCACATAAAGTAAGCGGAGATCTGCACTTGTCTCACATCTTCCGTCTAAACCAGACAACCCCTGATTTCTAGGAGACTCGAGCAGGCAGTAGGAACACACAGATACAACCCTTGTGAACAGCTGCCTCTTAGCAGGTGACTTACAGAAAGAGTCAAGAAGCACCACCTGTTACCTACTACACAGTGATGAATTCTGAAATAGCAAACACCTACTTTATGACTATGTGGCTTGAATGCCAAGCAAGAACATGACAGATCTCCGAGTGACCCCTATATGCTGTGTTACCCTACCGCTCTTTCACTGCAGATGTAACAGGTGCTTTCACCTATTTAGCTCTATTTCCTTCAGTCACCCTCAGTCTGAGAGAAAATTCAACCGAAGGTGTTAGCAGCAGAACTAAAATGTGGAGATTTTTGCACTGGGAAAAGGGAAGAACAAGGGAGAAAGCAAGACCTTGAATTCATTTGCATCTTCTGGATTACTGCAGGAGATGTCCTAGTCTAAAACCTCAAGAGGAAATTAATACCATTTCATTAAGAGGAAACATCTAATCTGAATCAGGTAACACAAACTTTCCTAAATTCTGTGTATGTGCCAGAAAGACAAGAAGAAAGCTTAAGGTGTAATATGTGTTGGGAAAAGTTGAGCTTATTCAGAACATGTGCCCGCCTCGAATGGAATCAGTGTGATTATCCCTCAAAGCTGGTAATTCAGCAGACTTCCTGGCCAGTAGGCATGACAAAGGAGCAGCTTTTAAGCAGTCGTGTTCCTCAGCTTCACTGAGATTTAGCTGAGCTCCCAAATATGGCAAGCTTCTCTGCGAGCAGAGTGGGCTCCTTAAAAGAGAGAAGGGACTTGCTGCTGCAGCAGGCTGACAAGCAGAGAGCAGCCAAACCACTGTCAGCCAACAGACACAGACAGAGGCCAGCGAATACTCGGGTGAGAAGTCCTTCTGGTCCAAAGTGATCCTTTTGGCCTATTGGGCTTTTTTGCCTGAGAGTTCTGATCGTTACTACACACAGTTTGATTAGCCAAAGTTGCCAAGTTACTGCCCAGCTCTCCAGCTGCGACCTCTGCATTAGAGTGGAGAGCATGTCTGCTCCTTTCTAACAGAAGAGATCCTGAAAGCAACGGGCAGACCAGGAGCAGGTGGCCCGGCCCCAAGAGGTCTGTTCACCAGAGGTCTGTGTGCCAGCTCTTCTGGGCTAAAGAAGTACTTGCCCAGTCTCAGCACAGATTCTGAGGGCCATGGGAGAAAGCACACCCAGCAAGTTCCTCTCGAACACGCTTGGTCATTCCAGCCTTATTTTTTTGGGAGAACTCTGATGCACCACACGTGCATGTGGCCTAAATGTATCTATATACATAGGTGGCATATGTGTATTTGCATGTGTTTATATATGCATACACAATATGCACATGAACTAGGATTTTTGCTAACCAGCCTTTCTAAATTTAAGCCTGTACAGTTAGCCTGAAGGTCTATCCTAGTTCAGCACCCTTGTGCCCACCGTGCCAGAAGTGGCTACGAATGAAGGGCACAAGACTAAACAGCACGCAGGGACTCCTGGCGCAAGCAGCACCCCACCTCCAGTGACCCGTGGCTCAGAACTGCTCCGAACCTGGTGTCTCTTCCATATTCTTCAGTCTCCCCTTGAGCCCCTAACACCCCCATGTACCATGGTGAGGAGTTCCACTCCGCACGGAAAAAATCACTTCTGTCTGAAGTTACTTCTCCTTGCCCCATCAGAACCCTCCTGGCTCCTGCAGTGGAACAGAGAGCGAACTGCAGACCCCTGCCACCAGTCTCCACGCCACTCCCAACACTAATTTTCTATTGTCCCAAGCGGAGATGGTCATATCAGAGCTCACCATTTCATCTGTGAATTTGGGGCTGTTTCCCCCTGTTATTTACACTGAACATCACCTGCTGTTTAGCTGCCTGCTCATTATCACAGGGCCACACTTTCTTCACAGCTCACCTTTGGCTTCCGTACTGCTGCAATTCATGACCAGCATGAACTTACTTCACACTTTTTCCCAGCTGTGACAACACAGATAAGCACAGGTTCTCAGACCAATTACTTCAGGGCTCCACCACTGATCTTTCCAGCTACGGATGCTGAATGCATACTTTTAACTCTCTGATTCTATCTTCTAACTCATGTTTTCTTTGTGTGGACAGAAGTACAGTTGAAAGCCAAGAAGGAGAGGATAGCAGTACATAGTTTTCACAAGGGGAGGAAGTTGAGCTGTCAGCTAGAGACCGGAGAAACATCAGCTTTTTTTTAGCAGGAATCCCAAACATGCTAATTTTAACTGTGGGCTTGGGGACAGATCGAGCAAACAGCAAGAAAGAGCTCACTGACTGCAGAGATCTGACTTCCACACAGGAGGGCTGCTATGCAGAAGTACTTGGCTCGGGGCAGGCTGCGCAGCCCAGCAGCGTGCTGCAATATTTGGTGTATCACTGCCCAAAGCACCGAGTTCGCTTCCTCTCCCTGCCGGAGCTCACAAGAGGTGGCTGAGATCTGCAGCAGGGGAAGCTCAGCTTTGGCTTTGAACAGTCTGCTGCGTTCCAGCATCTCCTCCCTTGAAGCAATTTTGCTCCTCTTTAGTATTTGTTGCTAGGAGACCAAGGATTGTCCTAATTATATATGAAAAGCAACTGCCATCTCCAAACTGCCTACTTCACGTAAAGGGCCATATCGAGAAAAAACAGACTGTTTAAAAAGGGGAGCCTGTTTCCAGGCTCTGAAAAACCTTGATCTTATTGCTTCACTACGTAACAAGTCACAGTGTCCCTGCCCTTTCCACCTCTGGGTCTCATGAAAAAGGAGGTCCATGCATCACACCACACAGCTCAGCAAGCCACATGCGCCAAGCATGGTTTATGATGCAAGGCAAACATTAAAACCCAGCCCTAGCTAGCTGCCCCTCTCAGAGACGAATCTTTCTACTTGCCCTGGAAGCACTGAGACCTCAACACACGAGACCTCCCCTCAGCGCTAGAGGCTGAAAAATACCAGGGCAACAGTAGCAAGCTTTGGTTCGTAACATCTAGATTCAATGCAGAAATCGCCTACCTCTTCACACCAGACGCGTGCGCTGCAAAAGTCCGAAGGGGCAGAAGAGATGCCATGCAATGCGGCCACACAGAAGCTCAGGTTTTTTACCCTTTCCTAACTTGGTCTCTCTAGAAACAACACAATAGGCACTCAGCTCCCTAAAATTTCCACAGCAAGTTCACTCTGCACGTGATCGGCTGCAGTGTCTCCTTTATTTTCTTTCCTCCCATACTCTTCCTGTTCACTCTGGTTCCTCCACTAAGAAGAGGACACCTCGCAGCACTCTCCTGAGACCCGCACAGGTGTTTTGTGTCAGCAAGGCACCACACCGGTAGGAGCTTGTCATCTAACCTGAAGGGAACATAAAGAGCTTACCCTAGCTAACGGAAGGAGGCAATGACCAATTGCCAAAGACGGAAGGAGCACAGTTAGAGCCACAGGAAGAGCACTGGCTCTGTGCAGAAAGGCTACTGCCCAAGGCTCCAAAATTGCTGGGTGCAACAGCCCACGCAGCTTGCTGCAGCAGCAGCCCAGAGATTTAAGGGATGCGGTGAGGGAAACGCTTTCCTTTTTCAGAAGCAAAGCATACTTTGCATTCTCAAGCAGACAGGGGTCCCTGCTCAGCTACAAGAGCACGGGACCAAGGCAGCTGCAGCGTGCAGTACCGTAAAGACACTCCAAGTCATCCTGCCCTGAGATCAGCCAGCTCCTGAAGAGGCGCAGGTGGTAGGAGCAGTGCTGGAGGTGATGGGCTAGAGTGGCATCCAGGGAGATGTTCCGGCTCGTGGCATAGTCAGAGGAAAAACGGCGCAGCAACTGGGCAACGTGCTGGTGCTCAAACGCATCTGGAGGAAAGGGGGCCACAGAGAGTGAGAGGAGAGGGGCAGGCACAGCGGGGGACAGAGCAGCTGTGGAGATCTGGGGACTGAGCTGCTGGGCGGGGAAGAACTACAGAA